GGACAATCACAGCATGCTCACATGTTAGTCAGGGACTTGATTTCAGCCAAAATGTAGAGCAAGAGCTACATAGAAACTCTACACAATTTCCCGAATTCTTTTTATTTTAACATTAAAATCACTACATAAAAGATACTTTATAAGAGGTTTTTAACATACGAACTCAATCATAAATATGTCAATTGAATCATCAGGTGTCACAGGAGGAGTCAAAGTAACACAGGATTTGTACAGGGTACGAATTCTGCAAGGGGCATAGAAACGCCACAATAACCTTTTCACATCGTATTTCTACATCAGATAGGAAAAGTTTGTCTGCAGGCAAACCCCGTTTTATAGTGACGTGATACACTTCAGATGACAGTGCGTGTCACTGACTTTGTCATATTTTTCCTTTTGTTTGTCCCCTATCAGTATTCCACAAGAACAGTTCATTTCTAAACCGAGCTTCTATTTCCACCCTGAAAGGGATCTGATAACGGCCATAGTCTGAATTTTAAATATCTGCATAACATTGATATCATAACTAAGTATAAGACTATGTTGATTATTTCTAAAATGTAAGGAATATTCTCGCAAATGCTGTCATATTTACAAAAATACACCTACATTGAAACTAGCATCCAGAGAAGCGCAGCTAGGTAACATCTCACTTTCTGATTTTTCCTATGTGAACAAAATAGAGTCTTAATCATCTTTGGTTGGGTACTATTGAAATAAAAGTTAAATTTATAAAAGCATTAAATGAAAATTCCTAATGTTTCATTGTTCATAGATACGCTTTTATTTTGTATACATATTTATGTTACCCCAAAATACATTCATTTTGAAAATAGAAAACTTATGTGAAAATTTGTTTAAAGCCAAACATTTGCAAAGTGGAAGGAACTCAGTTTTTTGAGACTTCTTACCAAACGGGTCCATTTTAATGAAATTATATTTTCACTCAGCATAGACAGGTCTGTTGAAGATGCACTCCAAAGAACATAATTCAGCAGTGTCTGTAAAAATAGTAGAGCTATGTGTGTGGGGAGAGGAATTGCTTACAACTAAACTCAAATTGTTACAAAATCACTTCCCAGTGCATTTAATTTTTAGTGAAACCTTTGCTCCCCTGCAGGAACGGTAAGCAGGGGTTGTGCAGGTCCAGAGGACTTAGCATCTGGCAGTGAGCAAAAGGACTGGGTTGCAGGCCTGCCATCCGAACAGCAGCTACATAAACCAGGGGAGGCTCAAAACAAGAGATCAAACAACGGTTTACATTTCTTTTAAGTCTGATAACTTCAGATCTTGATCCTGAATTAAAAAAAAAAATTCAACACTTGTACATTTGATTTTAATGACAATTAATTGCTCTCTGAGTATATAAGGATTTCCCCATCATTGCTAAAATATTAATCGTATAGCAAATTTGCTCAGTTGCTGGAAGTTACCTTGAAGTCATCCCGGTAGTTATGAGCCTTGTTCGCCTATACCAGTTCTCATTTGGGTTTCATCTTTGGAAGGACAATAAAACCGAAACACCATAGCAGAGAGCCTATGGCTCCCCACGGAAAACTTAGTTCTTCAGCAGCTTATCACCCAGTGGTGAGGGACCAGCGCAGATCCTCCTGCGCTCTCGGGATTAACACCTACCTCGTCTTTTCAGACAGACTGGCACCGAATCCTTGTTTAGGTTTCCTTTACTCCGGAAAAACAACCGAAAGTGTTTCCCTTTTACTCACCATTCCACCCCTACCACCTAAATGGTGGTCATCAAACCATTGTACCTCAGCAATTTGCTCATTTTCCCCGCAGTTCTTCCGGCGAGGTTTCCAGGAACGAGACTGCCCATGCTTTTTAGTCAGTACAATGGGAGGTCGGCATGCACTGATCAGAAAACCTTCCCTGTAGCCGGATCGGCAGCTCTGGTCATAATGCTTCCATGCGCTTCCATGCCTGTCTCCTTAGACGTTGGTAGCCTCGGAAAAAGAGTCAGCGGGGCCGTTGTTCTTTTTGACTTGCAGGTTCTTTTTAGCCTTGAAGGTCATAGACACCTCCGAGTGGATGGCATCCAGCCTCTGCTCACACCGGAAGGCGGAGAGGAAAGCCTTCCTGTAGTTGCTGTTCATCCAGCCGTAGAGGAGAGGGTTGGCGAAGGTGGAGCACATGGCGATAATGTGGAGGACGGTGAAGATGAGTTTGTACTCCTTCAGGTCCAGGACGTGGCTGTCAATGTCCACAGCAAGTTGGAACGCGTGAAGCGGCAGCCAGCTGACGGCAAACACCACAACCACACACACCAGCATTTTGGTTGTTTTGTGCCTTCGCTGATGGTAATGGTCGCTTGCTGCTCCCGGGCTGACATGGTTCTTCAGCTTATTCCAGATTCGGGCGTAGGAGAAAGATATGATGCCCAGAGGCAGGACATACAGGATCAGTAGGGTGGAAAGACTGTAGACGGTACTGTAGACACTCTTCTCCTCGCCAGGCCACTTCTCGGTACAGGCCACAATCTCAAAGTCGGGAATGATCTCAATCAGGGAGTACTCCCGGAAGATGGCCAGGGGACTCGCCAGCAGGGCACTGATGCCCCAGGCCAGACCAATAATCAGGAAGCTGATTCGCTTGGAGATCTTGCTCTCCAGATGATACACAATGCAGCGGTGGCGGTCGAGGGCAATGACTGTCAAAGTTATCGTGGACACTTGCACTGCCAGACCCTGAGCGTAGGGCACCAAGTGGCAGAGGACTGGACCCATTTTCCACTCTCCCATCAGGGTGTAGGTCAGAGTGAACGGCAGGCAAAGGGTATTCACCAGAAGGTCGGCCACAGCCAGGTTGGCGATGAAAAAGTTAGTTACCGTGCGCATGGTCTTGAATTTGATCACCACGTGGATGACCAGGGAGTTGCCAATTACGCCCAGCAAGATGATGGAGCAATAGGCCAATATGAGGACCACCTGTACCTCAACCAGCTTGGTGCTGTCTATGAGCTCCGGCTCCGGATCAGGCGGCAGCTCCCCTCTAGGAGTGGTGTGCCCCGGCCCATAGGGCTCCACCTTCGCTTCTACGGTCTGGTTCTCCTCCGCCTCGGCACCTACGGGGCCCATCTTCAGCACCACTTCCGTTTCTCTTGGCCTCCCAATAACACAAGAATCTACAATAATAACAACATAGGAAACCACTAGTGAAACAGACAGCCATCCTAGAGGGATTATTCTAGTTTAGGCTGAACTCTTCTAGAAAACTCTAGTCTGACCCTAACACTGCAGACCACGGAACAGTTTGATAAAGCAAGTCCTCTAAATGAGTCGATTTACAACCGTGGATTGGTGGTATTAGGTCTTAAATAAGTACGGTCATGGTAAGAATGTATTTTTCTATAGGAGGGAACCAATTCCACAAGGAATGAGAGCAAATAGATTTCATTTTCGTGCAAAATGGATGCAATAAAATATATCAGTTTTACAATTGATATGAAGTCGACAAATTAACACAAAGGGAAATCTCACCATCTTAGCTGTTAGAAACTGACAAGTATACACCAGTACACAGGATAGAAAAGGGACAAATGGTTTCCCTGTGCTGAGTGCCTGAACTTTGGGAAAATAAAATGAGGTGAAACGTGTGGACTCCTACATAGCCACCTTTTTCTTCACGTGTGCATATGTGCCCACCCCTCATATGCGTGTGGGGATGGAGGAAAGTGAAGATTCTTGTAAATGCTCTTCTTCTCTGTACCTTGGGTAAGAATTCATCCAGGTACCATTTCTTAGGTGCTATTCATGTTGTTTTTGAGAAAGGGCTTCTCACTGGTCCGGAATTCACCTTGGCTAGTCCTTCCGACCAATGAGAACAGCAGGTCCAACTTCCTCCACCTCCCCAGTACTAGCATGATAAGCACAGTGTTGCTTTGGGTGGTCTTGCTGAGCCACCTTGTGTTTAAAATGGAACTCTGTGCAGATCTGTTGTTCGGTTTCAGGGTCTGAAAGTAACTCCCCACACAACACAGGACAACATCCCACAAAAGTGCTGTCCTTAAAATGCATCCAAGTCTGACCCCCTGACACTTCTACATAGAGAAGTTTGGGATGCTTTTCTTTTCCTCCCTACACCCCAGAATTCCCCTGTCTGTGCAATCTGCTGCACTCAATGCATTAATTAAAGCCCTTAAGGTTTAAAACTGAGATAAGAATTCCAGGTTTTCCTTGTCTCCTTGCAGCTCCCCTCATGCTTTAAAGATGCCCCCGTCTGGTCTCTACCTCTCTCCCCCACACATCTGCTATCACCATGTCTACCGCACTGTTTTGTTTAGTCCATTTTCTAACTGTAATTATTCTTATAGCCATGCATCTTATTTCTAATTTTCCTTCTTTTTTTTCTGTCTGTTTTCATTCATTGATTCATGAACTTAACAGGTAAAATCATGCCCAACTCACCATGCTGATTTTGACATTTACTGGGACATGTATTCAACAAGCCCTTGCAATTCTGTATCCTGATGGGAGAATCCTGCTGGGTGTTAAGACAGAGGGCAATACTTCCACTAGATTTCTTAAAATAACACATTTGGTTTTACTATAAATTCACTGTTAAGTGTATAAAAGCACTCAGATTCAATACCTCAGTGGTAATACTTGTGAATATACACACAATCACAAAAGGCCTCTGCTATTAACTCAGAAGACCTTTTACTAATCTTTTTTTTATTAATCTTAATAGCATCATCTATGATGAATCCTGTTTACTGAGCTCACAAACAATGTTGGTTGGCCCTGTGTGTTTCCACCCCACTTCCCACCTTCTCTGCCTCTGTCTTGTTCTGTAAGACTGAACCGCAAGTTATCGGGGTTCTGGTTGGATTGAATCAGTGGGAGGAACTCGCGGGTAATGAAAGCAGGAGGCATGAGCAAAGCTGGTTCAGTGAATCAAGAGCTTTGCCACGCAAGTGTGGAGCTATGAAGAGAGCCCATTAGAGCTGGCTGCTTAATGCACATCTATAATGCCAGCTCTTTTGCAAGATGAGAGATGGAGACAGGATAATTCCCAGAAGCTGGTGGGTCAGGAATCCTGGTGGATGCAGTTGTGAACAAGAGACCCTGTCTCAAAAAGAGCCAAGGTGGAAAGTGAGGACCTTCACCTATGCACATACAAACAAACAAACATACATATAATACATACACATCATCCACACATACCCTACACACACACATACATACGTACCCTACACACACACCACATCTGCACTCACACACACTTATACATATGAACATACATATGCACATAAGCATACACACATGTAATATGTAGATACATACCTTACACTCATCATATACACATACCCTACACATATCCATCATATGCACACATAAGTAGTTTTATAAAGAAAACTGCATGAATAGAAAGCAGGGGGAAGGTAGACTCCGATGCTTGCTCCTCCCTCACTCTGTGCTCTGGGTAGCACCTCAGCAGCTCGGCTACAGCCCTGGTTTCCACACTGTGGACCCAGTGAGATTGTTTCCTGTGGGGGCCTGTTTCTTGGGTCTTGGTCACACTGCCTCTTCTCTGTGTCCCTTTGGTTTAAGGCAGAAGAAGGCACTGTTCTTGCAATCCTGACAGACCTAACTTTCGGTGTTCATCTCCCAACACTTACATAACCAAATCTCTGCAGATTCTTCTCCTCTACATCCCTGGATGATTTTTTTCTTTGTTTGTTTCATGATCGGCTCAAAGCATGCTTTGATTTGGTTCTCCCCTTAAAATAAGGCTCAGCTTCTTAGTGTGACACTTAAGGCTTGACGATGTCACTGCAGAGGCCCTGCACTGTCCTGAGCTCTCTGGACATCCCAATAGACATCTGATGCTCTCTCATACTGAATGGCTACCAAATCTAGAACATCCCGGGCTTCCCCATGCTTCTCTGCCCTCCCTGAGGTGAACCAAAGAGCCTTTGCTTAGGCAAAAGGCTCATTCTCCTGCCCACAACCCAGGCCACACTGTGACTGTGACAGTTGGTCCAACCGAGGACAGCAATGTCTTTGAAGACAAAACCTGAAACTTCATGATCTGCTGTTTAATTTTGAGGTGCACCACCTAGTACATTAAAGACTCTCAGTAATTGGACAAGACCAATATAAGTATAAACAAGAATACAATTTTACTAATAACTAGTACTACCTGTTAAATACGAAATACAGTTTCAGTCCTGTCCTTTACTGAACATAATGGCACACAGGATTCATTCTGGGCCACAGAAGCCTCATATGTGGTTTCTTGTTCTTTAATTAGGTACTTGCTTCTGTAAGAAGTCTGGCCTAAGACCCTCTTAATTCAGTTCTGGATTACAGCCTTTTAAATGGCCTGTCAGTATAATCCACTTAGCAACTTTTCTCAAGTGCTTATATCTATCTATTTCTCTTCTCCCCACTACACACACGCATGCACACGCATACATACATACATACACACACACACACACACACAAACACATATCCTCAACCCCTCCTATGGACCTGAGAGCTTTCTGTGTACTTGTATTTGCTATACTGCTGCTTTCTACACAGGTCAACATACATTCCAAACAGAGTATTCCCAGGATACCAGGCCCGCGATTAATTAATGGAAACATGGCATTGAAATCCTGACCTGTTTGACAGACTGTACCGTTTTCCTCGGACTAAGAGCCTGACTTTGCAGAGGGCAGAGACTCAGACTCCACTTATCAACAGGAGGTGAGCAGTACTCCGAAAGTTGGGGTTTGAGGCTCGTACAGGTGGAACTGAGTATAAGCACCAGGTTTAAAGGCACCGGCAAGAGGAGCGTATTGGATTTATTGGCTATTTCCTTCTCTCCAGTCCTATTTTCTCCACTCCTAAGTCCCTTTATTTATAGCTCCTCTACAGGAATGGTTATCGATCGAGAAGCTATTAGCATGTGGACACTACGAACTGTGCTTAGGCACAGCACTCGCCTTGGGCTGGGGGACGCGCTACCTGAACACAGAATCTATCACTCACAATGGCGGCGCTTCCGGAAGAGTAGACGAGAGAAAGAGCAGGAGAGGATACCACCACGTGTGATGCTCCTGCCTCCAGCTAGAAGCAGACAGCGGAAGAGCCTTTCCTTGAAATAAGGCAAAATGAAGCATTCAGGTTATTCAAGACACTCTAAACTATGAATGGTGCTGTCTTCTTGAACATCCTAAGCCAATTTGTTAGAAGAGGAAATGGTTTTTTTTTTCTTCTTCTGAGGCTCAAGGTGCTTTAATGAGTCGGAGAACTAACTACTCATGCTTTGACTACATGTTGAAACCTGTGGGTTTGCAAGTTATTCCTGCAACAGAATCACTCCAGGTGCGCAGAGCTTGGCATTCTACCAAGCACCTCTTCCAGGGATGTTTTCCCAGGGAAGAACCCCAAACACTATGCTACACACCTGCTAGCCCTTCTGTGAGGGGAGATGGGACTTCAACCACACTACATGCACGGGATGACTGATCGTATGAACGTCTGAAGGCTTCTCTTTCCTGTATCTGCTCCTCCTTTCCATGACAGCAGAGCTGCCTCCTGCTCACCCCTGACATCGTAATGACTGGTCCTGACTAAGAAAGGTATTGATATGTTCTGTGTCACCCCTTCCACACCACCATAGATTTCTCCTAATGGCTGATCCCATCTAATGGAAATGAATGGAAGCCTAATTAAATGTCTCCTTTTGAACGGGTTTGGAAAATCCAACATGACCTTGCCCTTTAGACGGTGCTTGATTTTTTTTTTTTAAAGAGGCAGCAAAATCCTATCTTACTGACTCAGTCTGTAGTGTTTGATCAAGGAACATTCAAGAACCTTCAGTATAAAAGAAAAAAGTCTAGCAAAAGAAGAAAACAAGAATGGTCCTAACCCCTCTAGAATCCGTGTTCCGCCTAAACTCGGGGAGGGCTGGGAGGCTCTCCTTAGAAGCACTATGCCCGGTTCCCTGGACAGGACCCCTTCGTGATTTCGGAAGAACTGGAGTTTGAACTTACTGCGCCGGCCCTTGCGGTTCAGCTGAATTGAGGAAGGAGGAAGCCCGTAGTGTTCAGTCAACAGGTTGATGGCCCTGGGAAGCTCCGAAAGCAGGTCCGGTTCTGTGTGGGACAGCGTGAGCAGGCAAGCAGGAACGGGAGCGGCCGGCTGAGTGAGCCACTTCGCTGCTGTAGCTGCCGGGGACCCCGCACTGCGAGGTGCAGAGCCCAGGGTAGGAGGGGGCGGGGAGAGAGGAGGGTTGGAGATGGAGGTGGAGGCGAACCCTGCCCTGTAAGGAAAGGACACAGGTACAGCGATGGCCTTGCAAGGGGTGGGGGTGAGCCAGATAAGTTCCTGTGGCCAGGGACGCGGGGAGAAGGTCCACCAACCCCCGGTAGCCCGCGCTCATCTGCACCCTATCCTAGGCAGCACAGCTCCCCATCGCACGTGGCCACCACTCCCAGCCGCTGCTACCCTCACTCCACTTAGGAGTTCATCAAATCTGCTGAGGAAAGTCCGCGGCAGGAGCGAGCTCCCGCTGCGAGGAGGGAGCTGCGGTCCCCGCACCTGAACAAGGCACAGACAAATAAGCTTGCGGGAGGCGATCTGGAGAGACGCTCCACACCTACCTCAACGCCCCGGGGAATCCAACTCTGGGCTCCGAGTTTCGCGGTGTAGGAGGGAAGGCGGGGAGCCGGTCCCTTGCAGGAGCTGGATTCCAAGGACAAACAGCCAGCACGCCCGGCCAGAGCGGGCGCAGGAGCTGCGGTAAATGGGGGTCGCGGGACCGTAAACCAAGTCCAGAGCCTGGTGGCCCCCGGAGCAGCAAGCCCTTAACAGGTGTTGATGGAATCGTGCGGATTCTGTCTCCGAGGTCGACTGCCAAAAGCTGTTTCTCAGAAGGGAAGCAGAGGATGGCAGAGGGTCTTCAATAAAACAGTCTTTCTTTGTCCAGTTAGTTGACTTCAAAATTCTTCGCCCTTGGATCTTTCACTAGGAGCGCGGAGTGCGAGTCCCCGGGAAGGTTCCTCTGATCTGGAGCCTGCCCAAACTCCCGCGTAGGAGTAGAACAAGACATACCGGACTTCCAGTCACCAACGCTGGGAGGGCTAGGAAGGGGTTGCTTCAACTTCAGCCCGCAAAACTCTTCATTCAAAGGTTGTCCTTCCTTCCGGAGGCTTGCTGCAGGTCTCTTTTCTTCATCAATTTTAAAGGGGGCAGTAGAGTCTGTAAGTGACGAAGCATGCACTGGAAGCCAGGATTGCCTTAAGCCCCTGTTCCCAACCTTGCACGAGTCACCTCCGTGCATTAATTTTTTTTTTTTAAATTTCTAAAATGAGGATGGTCATATTAGGCCCCGGGATTTCTCTTAAAAAAGCAAAAAGATGATTTGGTTTCTCTACAAATAAAAGGTTTTACTTAGCTATTTTTAAAAGGTAGTAAATACTCCCCCACGTATTAATTACTCTTTTCATGTGGAATGGGTTTCTGACCCCTGAAAGTCACACACCCTAATCCAACTTCATTGGTAAACCACGTAATTAATCTGAAATCAGTCCAGTTCTTGTGACATCACAATAGAGAAGCTATAGATAAGACGTTGTTCTTGGGGCTTGTCAATTACCAATACATGATATTTACATGTAGGCATGATATTTACAAGCTCTGCCTAAAGACTTTTTGTAAGTATTTTTTGGCTTAGGAAAACACCTCCTGCTCACACATGGGTTTTAACTGAACAGATTCATGTCTGAACCTGATGCTTCACAAATGCTGTGCGTGTTCTGCCACTAAACAACAGCTTCACACTTTCTGGGTTGGTTTTTTTTTTGTTTTGTTTTTGTTTTGGTTTGTTTGCTTGTTTGTTTTGTTTGAGGGCAGTGCCTTGCTAAGTTTCACAGGCTGTCCCAATCTTCTCTCTATAGCCCAAATCAGCCTTGAACCTGTTTAGCCTCGTAAGGAGTTGGATTGCATGTGGCACCATCAGGGCCAGCTGTGCAAGCTTTTGAATACTAGGAAGGTGAAGAATGAACTTTGTGAGTCTAACAAGTTAAACCTTTGAAGGGCAACACAGGTTTAGACAATAACCATAGAAGCAAATACCCAAGGAAGCTGACAAGCAGCGTTGCTGAAGGTAATTGTTTTTAACCTATTTCTCTGGCAGTGATTGCATGAAGCACTCTGCTCACTCAAATTATTGGCTTTCAGGGGTTTTGAAGCAAGTCTGTATATGAACATTGAGCTCCCATGTTGATATCTTAAAAGACTCACATGGTTGTACACACGCTGATCAGCAACTCCACTGATACCAAAGGACCTCCATGACTCCCGTCTTTCTCTAAAGTATAGAAATGGACGAGAAGCTGCTCCAGGATGGGAAAGTCACTTCACAGAGCAACGCTCTATCAGCATGGTTGTGCCAGCTCGTGACGCTGCACACTCAGGCTCTAAGTAAAGGCCTGGAAGGCATGTGTGTTATGGGCCGCAGGAACAAAGAACCATGCTGAGAAAATGCCACACATCTGTTGGGTGGTGAACTAGGGATTAGGCCAGATGGAAACAGGACCAGATTAACGGATCTAATTTCTCTTTTGTCCAGTAGTTTAGTTCGTTGGGTAATTTCATGCCTTTCCAGAAGAGGGACTGATTCTTCTTCAAACAGGGAGACAAGAAACCCAAATGCCTACATACCTAGACTCAATAGCATCTGTGCGCTCATGGGTTAGGGTGGGGGAGAAAACAGACAAGGGTAAGGACTCACACATCCCAAGAAACACAAAGCACCCACAAGAGCTGAAGGCACAGGTCTGTTCTCAGGTTCCAGTGAGCTGCCCTGAAAAAAAAATCTACATTCAACAGGGTCAGAGCTCACATTTTAAAAGAAACAAAATTCATATTCTTAAAAATCTTAGACCACTGAGATGATTCAAAGAGTTATGCAAGTGTCACCAAGTGTGTCACCAAGGATGTCACCAAGCCTGACAGACTTAGATTCCTTGGACCCTCATAATGGAAGGAAAGAAACTGTCTTTCTCCAACACAATGTCATCTAAAGTCAACACACACCCTACACACACACACATACACACACACACACACACACACACACACACACACACATTGCTAGTCTTTCTCTTTCTCACCAGCCAGCTTCCACATAAATGGCATGGAGACTTCTCATTAATTATGAAAGTTTAGCCAATAGTTCAGGTTTATTTCTAACTAGCTCTTATAACTAAAATGAACCCATTTTTATTCATCTGTGTGTTGTTTCTTGACTCATGGCTTTTACCTCTTTTTTCACATACTGTTCCCTCTGTATCAGATGGTGACTCTGCCTGTCTCTCCTGGATTCTTTTGGCCCCCAAAATCCTGCCTAGCTATTGGACATTAAGCTTTTTATTAAATTGATCCAAGTGACATTTTTTCACATTGTACAAAAAGATTATTCCACAACATTTTCACCTTTAAATAATAAGGAAAGGTTTTTAAATCTAACACAGTAAAACTATACAATAAGAGCAATTATCAGATAAGAATTAAATTTACAATGTTCAGTCCATTTGTTTTGGCAAATTGGAAGAGACTACTTCATTATTTATTCTATCTTGACGAATCCAAAGTTCTGTACCTAGTTTACCTTCTATCAAAACTAAAAACAACTACAACTATAACTACCTAGTCTTCATTTCCCTCAAAGACCCCAGAAGGCTATAGCATCGCCTGAGTAAATAGAAAGTGCTGAGCAAATCCCAAAACTAAAAGAAATGACAGAAACAGCTGGCTGCCTGGAAGTCATCCACGATTCCTCTGCAATGTTTGGGCAGCCATCTTTGGCCTACAGGCCTAGAATATTTGACAGACATTTTTATGAAGCAGGAATTTTGAAGGACTGTCCTTCCTTGTTTTGACAAAGTTTAGCAGTCACTTTCCTTTGTATCCTGCCGAAAATTTGGCAGACTTTTCTATGAAGCAGGAATTTTGAAGGTCTATTCTGCCTTGTTTTGGGAAAATTCAACAGTCACTTATCGTGTGTCCTGTAGAATGTTTTGCAGACATTTTTATGAGGCAGGGATTATGAAGGACTGTCCTAATTTGTCTTGGCAAAGTTTGACTATCTCTTTCTTTTCTGGCCTGCTTGTTCAGTTAGTACAGCATACCATGAGCAGTCAAGGCAAGAGCAGCTTCTTAGCCAGTGACTAAGTTTTCCCACAAAGAAAGCAAACTCCGTATGGAGGTTCTTCGATGCCCATCATCTTCTTTGAAGTAGATTGGTGCTGTCAGGAGCAGACATTTCTCATTGCCATGAAAAGTCTTATGTTATTAAAACATCTTCAATGCTGTAGTAATCTATAGATCTTGGAAAGTGTTTGAAGACTACCTGTCTATCTAAAATATATCTGTTTGACTTTGAAAACATACCTAATATGATAACAGGTTTGAATGTTATATAGGCCTAACTACTAAACTACATTTCTTAATTATCTTAAACAGTTTGCAATAGTAACTTTTAAGGACTAGAAATTTACATTCCATTGTTAAATGAACTGCATAGCTAAAATAACATAAACAAGAGAAAGAACATATGTACAGTATGTTCTAACAAAAATAACCTTAAATTTGTATCAATATACAAAAATACTTTCAAAAAGAGTAGAAACATGTATATATAAGAAACATGTATAAGTAAAAACATATATAAATACATATTTATATATATACAAATTTAATCTTATTTTTGTTATACTGTATCAAAAATAAGCTTAAATTTGTTTCAATATAAAAAAATTTACAACAATGCAAAATATTTAAGACTAGTAGCTGCATTTTTAGTTTAAAAGTAGATTCAATAATCTACCAATTTATCTTATCATTTCTATAGCCCTCCATTTTTCTTTCAAGTTTCCTGAACCTAATCTCCTTTGTTCAGCTTTTGCCCTGACTATTACTAATAACAATCTGTAACCAACTCTCCTAAATTATGACAAGCATTCATTACTCATTGAACAACCAAAAACCGCCCACCACATCTCTTGGGAATGTGGACATTGTGTTCTCTGGACTGATTCCTGTCGTCTGAAAGAACCAGCATCTTTGGGAAACCCTGAGAAAATTAGGATAATGATCAAGTCCTGGCTAGAATAGTCCGTGAGACTGGAACAGCTTAGACAGCAACCTTGAGGCTGTTCTGGTTGCAAACGTCTCACAGTAGAGGTACTCTGAGGAGCTGGATCACCTGGGCCACACTTTTTCATCAGTGTCTCAACCCTTTGTTCTGAAAGCACATAAACTTCCAAGGGTAAAATACATATCTGTATTAATACAACTATGGATTATATGCTGCACACAAGCCAGCCAAAAATGTTCTTTTGTTTTCTGTTTGAGCAGGTAAAATATATATCCCCTGCCTTTCAGTTTTAACTAGGTTTATTTCTTTATGTCTGCATCCAGGATTTTCAGGGGGGTCTTCCCCAATCACACCTGATCTCTATTAACCTGAAAGGAATCAGGAGACTTTTTATTTCCAGTGGAAACAAAAGCATAACCTCTTCCCCCAAATCGGCTTTCATTTTAAAGTTAAGGCATTCCTAAAGTATGTAGACTGGTTTAATTCAGCAATTCCTTCCACAATCCCATGTCTTCCAGCAACTGTCATTTGCTTCTCAGCATTCAAACCATGTAATGTCAATAGAGCAACACAGGATCCAGACTCCCTGTGCATTTCCCATCTCTATGTGGTTTGTTTTTTTACTTTACTTCTCTCTTTAAAGACTTTAATTTTTATGATGGTCTATACATTTTTTAAAAAGCCTGTGTAACTTGTTAAACACACTGGAACCTATGCAGAGATTTTTCCTATCTGCATCTGTCTTTACTGCATATCTCTATCCTTTTCTGACTGCATGAGCCTTACAATGC